TTCTTCATTGACAGTCCGAGCTCAGATTGTTATTTCAGCCTCGGAAATGACCACTAAGCAGAGTCAACCCTGCGTTGCGCAGTTCTCAACGGCCACGTTGCGCAGTTTCGCCCGATTAGACACGTTCTCTCGCGCGAACATTCACACTCGCATGCTCGAGCCGTCTGTGTCTCCGCCCATACAGCGTGCGTTGAGGATCTCTCAACGTGCCGTTGCGAACTGCGCAACGCAGGGTTGACTCTGCCACTAAGCCCCTCATCGCTCAAATGAATACACCACTCGACAGACGCTGAGAAAGGCTACTCACTTCAAGGCCCAGCACAAGTTAGCCACATTGGAGTCTGCTCGTACAGACATGGCAACATAGGATAGGACACCGGGCGAAGACACGGTTTTTCGAGAATTTCCTATTTTCAAAACAAGCAACTTTTTATGGACTTTCTCTCCTCAGGTAATCTTAACTCATGGAAAGAGTTCGATCTTGACGGGCCGGGTGGATTTTGCTACTACTGGAGAGGCTTGGCCGTGAGTCGCTCGTGCTCTCGAGAAGGAATTTCGGAAGAGGCCCGTTGATGGGTCTGCGGCGGTTTCGCAATCAGCGGAAATTCAGAAGTTGCCGTTCCATTATTGCGTATGAACTGTAAAGAATACCAAGCAGTGCTCCAATGTCACCTGTTGCCTTTCCTTAGCGAAGCGGAGCGAAAATTGCATTTTTAGCAACAGGACCACGTGTCTTTCGATGCTTCGCAATCTACCAAAGAATGGCCTTAACCAAATGGTGCTGAAGCGATAGATTGGCTTGTGTGTCCTCCTTACTGCAACCCTATAGGGAGCCCTTGATCAAGGCGTTAACTTTAGCAACCGGCAGTATAATACCGCGGATGAACTGAAGGCGGCGGTAGAGGCTATTTGGGCCGACAGCGACGAAACAGCTATGCCAAACGTGGTTCAGATTATGCCGGACAGGATGTTTGAGCTAATTAGAAACTCTGGAGGCCCCACTGATTTCTAATCTCAGCTATGTTTTTGTCTTTTGTTAAGTGTGCACATACTTTTGAAACAAAGAAAAAATTTCATCCAAAATTTTTTTCGAAAGTGAAGGCGATATTATCTGCTTTGCTTCCATTGATAGGTTATCGACTACGAGAAATCGATTGAGAAGGATTTCATAGCACGAAACCTCATGGTTCCCTTTCAAACGTGAATTTTGAGGGTGTGCACATACTTTTGAAACGCACTGTAGTGGGAGGTGGATTGCAAGTTAAGAAAAAAGGAGAGGAAATCGTGGAAAACGCAGTAACTAGGAGCCTTTACGCTCTACATTGTAGAGAAGTCTCAGAGGCAGACAAGGTGATGGGAGATAATGTGGGCCGCGGAGCGGGAGTAGAGATCATGGCAGGTCAACTTGGTTAGTGAAGCAGTTGAGATACGGAGTGGTGAAACGGGGGGCGGACCCCGGTTGCTC